TAGAATAAATGAGAAAAATGAATTTTTGAAGTATCACAAGTCACAGGTGTTCGAGGCGAATTATACTTTACAGAAATTGATGTGTCTAATGAAATATGTACATACTTATTAGGTGCAAATGATAAATGAATTCGGTGTCAATTATAAATAAATGTAAATTAATTTAATTAGATGTAAATTGAAAATGAGTGAATAATTTAAATATAGCTTGATATTATTACACAATTAAATTAGTTTTGTGGAAATTCCAAGGGGGTAAAATGTTTTGTCATAAAATTTAAATGGCTAATTTTATGTTTTCTAAATAAGCTGTTTAAAAGTTTACTTTATTATCTAAATCTCATATATATTTTATTAATCGTCTAATTTTAATTTTAACGAACGTCAAAAAACTACTCATTTTCTCAAACTTTGATGAATTTTTAAAATTAAACTACTTGTCGTAAGGCCGTAATATTTCAGTAAGTTCTATAAGACCATGATATATATCGTCAAAAAAAGTTCAATAAAAATCGGCTTCAATTTTTTTTCAAACAGTTAATTACAAGAAAACTAATCAGTATCATTCCCAACTAATATCTTTCGAACAGTTTTTGATTTCTTAAAATCGATTCGGTAGTATGAGCTTAAATGTGGACAAAAAGTTTAACACTTTTTTTCAAATTACAAAGAAACGGCTCGGCCGATCGTCGCATAAAACTGAGAAAAGATAATCCTCATCGAATACATCAAATGGCTTTTAAATTTCTGAAATTGGTACAGGCGTTTTTGAGCAAACGTCGATGAAAGTTCTAATTTTGACAAATGCCAAAAAGACCATACTAATTTTTTGCAAACTTTGACAAATTTTTAAAGCTAAACGAGTTGTCGTAGGGCCGTAATATTTTAGTATGATCTAGAAGACTATGGTATCTAGTTGTTGACGCGTATCGGGAAGTTCTGCGACTTTCCAAATAACAAAATGCTACTTTTATCAGTAAAGTTTTAATAATTGCAGATATTTAAACTATTCAATAAACTAATCATTATTGCGACATGTGAATTAGTCATACAAATCTCTGGAGCATCAGTATTAATTTGCATTGATTAGTCGTGCTCATTCGCAGTTACGCTGATCATAATAAAGAACAACCTTTATTTGCGTTAAAGAAATCGTGTGTTCGAATCACTACTTCAGCAATTTGATATTAAATTCACATTAACATCGCAGATAAAATCGCATACGAGTATCGAATATTAAAAGCCACCCATTCTGTAGAATTATGAGCAATATCACCATCCATTTAGTGCAGATTTTACATAAAGATAGAATCGTTTTGAATCGTCATGCAACTGGGGGTTCTTCTAATTCTGCTTGGCACAATGCATTGCAATATCGTATCAGACTACCACGAACAAAAACTGCGTTCGCCAAACATTAGGGAGATAGTATACGAAGTTCAAATCGAAAACTGAAATAGAAAAAAACTATCTATTTAATCCTCGCGGATTATTACGGCCGATTCGGCTGAGCTTCGACACTGGGCTGCTCCCGCAGAGATTCCCGATTGTGTCGCATTGTACCGAGGCGTGTTGCGTTCGAAAATATTCAAATGTCGCGCTAATTTGGCACGAGAATAATGGTAATCCATTACACCGCAACGATTAGAATCGTTCACCGTGAAAGGATATAAAAAATCAGCCTTTGTAAGTGCCATAACAAATGTTAGAGCCGCTCTAAAGTTGTAATGTTTGGAAACATTTTGGTTTTATAAAATAAGGCGCCTTGGTAATATTTGTAACTACGTGATATCCTTAACTTTTTATATTTAATCATGTCTATTTAATTTTATCAAATAAGTGCTTAAATTTTGAACTTCACAAAGGAGAAGCTTGAGTTTTCGCCAGAAAATCCAATTTGCTAATTCTATATTTTCTCTACGTTTCTTCAAGTCTTTCTAAATTT